GACATTTGATCACCTTTAGAAATCATGCTTCAAATTTCTTGATGACTTCTTATTTGATTTTGACAAGGATATCTAGTCTCATTTTTCTCAATTGTTGCTTTATTAGTTTATGACCGAGTAATAATGAGACCTTATGCACTACTATGTCGACATCTCGTACTAGGCATGTCTTTATATGACCAAAAACGCACATTTGTATATTCACATAATAAGATAATTAATCTCCTTTTTTCTTCTACCAATATCATGGCCTCGATTTACAATTCTTTTTTATTTTCTTTTATCCTCACCTTTACATTTTTTAGCCCCTCTTAGTGAAATTTCATGGATCGCTCGGACAACTCTATTAACTTTGCAAATTCATCTACCTCCTCATTCTCAAACTCCTCTGCATCTATTATAATAAAAGTTTCATCAAATTTAGGCCAAACAAGTTTGATATAATTATTTTAAAATTTTAAAAGATGTTCATTTTCTATGTATTTAAAAGTAAAAAATGTGAAAATAAAAAGAACAAAAAGGAATGAACATAAGGTTGAAAAAAAATTCATGATCCCGTATTAATATTATATATAAATGCTCAACATAAGTTCTTTTCAATATCTTGAGCTAGATTATTGAAAGATTAAGATGCTAAAGTAATTAATTACTTAAGATTATAGACCAGTTGAATTACCTCCTCTTTCTAATTATTGAGTTCCTCATCCAATGAGCACTCTTTGACCAGCTAGTTGGTCGGCAATATCTCTTCTAATATGTTCGCACAATCAATTATGGTAGGATTGTAGATTGGGAAACTACCACCACCGAGTCAAGATAGATGACTTCCTCAACTTTTTACTCTCTCTTAGCTTCAATGTGGTTAATGGATAGACCAGTCATTTCTCCCTCTAAGTTCACCATCTCCTTGTTCAAGTTGATAACACAGCTATGGTAGGGGAAAGTTATCCGAATATGAGGGATAAAGATGTTAATATAGGTGCATAAGATCCAACCATATTTGGATGGGTTTGAGTTATTATATTATTACATTATTTATATTATTTAGAATAAAAGAATTTTTTTATTAATTCTTGTCATTTATATTTATTAATTGAATAAAATTAGATAAAATTCCATAGATATGTATTTTTATTAATGATTGATTGAAAGATGTGAGATAAATACTAATACATATAAATGATATCATTAAATATCTTAAGTCATAGCATTGTCAAGAATAAACATTGACTATATGCGGTTAGACTTGTGAGTGTTATGCTTATACTATACGGTAGTAGTAGGAGATCTCACACCTATTGACATGATGATATCAAAGCAAGACTACTTAGGTGATTTATGTTAAAGAACATATTACCGAACTTGACTCGTCATGAGAACCCATTTGGTTTAGTCTATAAGAATCTCATACGAGATAAGTACAATTGGTCCTTAGATTTGAAGTCATCATGGTTATCTCATTAAAGGATTTATGCACTTTGACACTCATTTCGATAAACCTAATAAAGGGTTGCACATAGGTGATTTGTTGGGTGCATTAGGAATCTAATAGAGGTAGGTGGATGACTAAGATATAACATGTCATTCTTTGTATGCTAAAGAAGTTATCATATTGCACTTCGATGAATGTCCGCTCAAGAATAGAGCATAGTTGGTATACTTCAAGAGCTAAGATATTTGGGAATCAAAGAAAACTTATGTAATCATAATCGAACAAAACTTACAACCAAGTTTGAGATCACACAATGATAAGTTGACATGAAGACTAAATTGTATGGTAATCATGCTCATGAAAGGTAATAATAAATTAATTAATCCTCATAGAGAATTGGGTAGTCATAATGCCTTGTTAAAGGTTAATCTTGACTTATATATCAAAAGATAAAAGAGGTGTGTTTTGTTCCTAATACATTGCCAACATATCTAGAAACCTATTGAGTCAAATGCATAAGTTTAAGCATTCACATGATTAAAGAGAAGCAAAGATATTGAACAAAGTTTTTAATTTTGAAAGTTTCCTATTTTAAAAAGGGTTTTTGAAAATGGAAGGTTTCCTAAAATGAAAAGTTTCCTATTTTATAAATCGAGTTTCCTAATTTGGAAGTTAGTTCCAAATTTGAAAGTAAATAACCTAGAATGAAGATTAGTTTTCTAATTTTAGGTTAAGGGTAATTTGAGAAATTTTTTCCTAAATGTGGGCCACCTAAAATGATCTAAGTTTTTTTATTTAGATAGTCCAAATTAATTAATTGGGTCAAAATGATTTTAGGCCAATAGGTTTAATTAAAAGCCTAAAGATATTTTGATGGGAAGATAAACATGAACCTTATTGGATAAGGATGAGTGTTTTAAAGATAAAGATCAAAAGCCCATATGTTAAATAACTTTTAATCCTTAAAGAATTAGGAAGCAACAACTAATAGTCCAAATTAGGACAAGTTGTTACCCCTCTCATTGTCCTTGGAAGACAAGGAAACTCTCCCCTATAAATAGGAGGAGAGATGCGGCAACAAGCATCAATTTTTAAGGAAAGAAAATTTAGCACAATTAAAAAGAGAGCTAGGGTATAGGACAAAAGAAAATAAAAAGGAGAAAATAGTTTTCTCCTAAAAATCTTAGTGCACGCCACTTCCTTTTCTCTTTGGGTTTTCATAAAATTACCCATATTAGATTTTTATAGAAAACACTAAATAAATCGAAAAGGTAGAGCTAGTACTCTACCAATTTTGAATGCTTCTTTGTGGTTACTTGAACTACGTGCATAATCAATAGAGATCAAATGCTTGGACGATTTCTTTCTCTCGCTAAATAATTTAGATTTATGTTACAATAGGTAATTCTCTATTCATCACTTTAATTCATAAATATATGGTTAGTTGATTCAACGACATGATCTCGAGCCCTTTAGATAGAGAAATTTTTTGTTTTATTCCATACCTTCATAGGATGTATGATCGTTCAAAGGATCTTCTTCTCATTAGGCTCTTGCCTTCAATTCTAGCCAATCTCTTTTCTTTCTTCTATTCAAAAACTCTTAAGTAATCCTTTCTACTAGGTTTAAATCCCAACCTAAAACAGTTGATCAACATTGGATCCTCTCGGGGCATTTGCGACTCCCGACATTCCATCATCGAGACTATAGTTCAAAGGAAACTCATATTTAATCAAATATCTTACTACCATCTTTACGAGTACCGAGCACATTCGGGTTTCTCAATAAGGCATTTTTGGGCACTAATTTTGCATTCATAATTTCAAAAGCATACAAAGTTCCATCTCGGCTTTCTTTAGCTTCAATGTAAGGCATAAACACATTCTTAAACAAGCGTAGTGCCTCTTCAATATAGGGCATATTATGCTTAGAAGTATACAATATGACGATTGGATATCAATGACTTACAAGGTGACTTGAAATTGATTCAACCTAATTTTCAAATTGATATCAATGTCTCCTATTACCTATGTCGGAGAACCATCATATGCTCTTGCCATATATTGCTAGGATGCATATGGAAAGCATCCATGGGAAAACAACCCGGGATAAGTTTTAGCAAGACATTTAGGGTAGACCCATTGTCAATCAACACTTAAGATATTACATGGTCTTTATATTTGATTGTGATATGCAACGATTTGTTATAACTAGTGCATTCGGGACCCAATTCATCCTTAAAAAATGACAAATAGTTGGTAGCTTGAATCCTCCCAATCAAATATTCCATAGCATTAGAAGTGACATCCTAAGAGCCGGATGCCTTACTTAGTACTTTTTGTAATACCTTCCAAGTGTGATTTAGAGATCAAGATTAATGATAGCAGAGAGATTCTAGCCGATGTTTTCTTTAACCGATATACCATACCGTAATCACTATTTTTCATTATTTTAAGAAATTCGATGGCTTCCTCATCATCCACCAATTTGTTCACCTCTCGAACTTTGGTGAGATCTACTATCTCGTTATCTTTCTCCTTCCTTTGCTCTTTTAGAGTAAAACACCTTCCGCTTCAAGTGAGACCAACAACGCTAGTATTAAATGACATGTTCATGTTAGTGTGTAGGTGCTCCAAATCCAACTAGTTTGGATGGTTTGATGTATTGTGTCATTGCATTTTAATATTAATAAATAATTTTTTTATTAATTCTTGTTATTTATAAGTTGATAAAATTAGATAAAAGTCTATATGATATTCATTGCTTTAATGGTTGGTCAATAAATATGAGATAAACATCAATACATATAAATAATATCGTTAAATATCTCAAGTTGTAGCATTCTCAAGAATGGACATTAATAATATACGGTAAGACTTGTGAATGCTATGCTCTTAGTATAAGATAGCAATAAGAGATCTCACACCTATCGATACAGTGATACTAAAGCAAGCATTTAGGTAAATAATGTTAAAAAACATATCATTGGACGTGACTTATCATGAAAACTCATTTGATATTGTCTATGAAAATCTCATACGAAATGGATACAAGTAATCTTTTGATTTAAAATTATCGCTATTATCTCATTAAAAAATTAATGTAATTTGATCTTTTTTTCGATAGGCTCAATAAAATGTTTATTCAAGAATTTATAGGATGATGATGAATCAAGAGTTGATCCCGGTCTAGAAGTCAAGTAGATGGAGCCATATTGGTCCTACCCATTAACCAATATCGTACGTAGTATCCGAACCTAGCTATTTCTTGGTTTGCCATTGCTGTCAGACATTACCTGTTGTCTCAGACGTTATCCTAACTTTTTTAGCAACCACATATCTTTTTATTATTATTTAGCATTACCTTTGTGTTATACCTTATTGATAATTATTTTCTCAAGGGTCTTTATTAACTTGGCTTTGTTTCATCGATATAAATGATATTTTGCAAAAAGTTTTCTTGTTCATGAAATAGTATAATTGGATCGGTTGTTATATACTAAGATTAAGTTTATTTTCTAGATCAAACAAAAGATCATATCCACACCACAAGTAATATATACATATATATGAGACTCCAATTGTTTGAACACCCACAGAGGCCACAACCACGAACAAACGAGTGATGTAGTCTTGTTTATTTTAAATGTTTATTGTTTGGTAATAAAAATAAAAAATACAAATGCCAAACCTTTATTGGGTGTATGTGTATGTGAAATTTGGCTATCATGTACAAGTGGATGACAATGCAACTTTTCTACTTTTAATTATGCGTCGCCCATTCCTAATTGATTTGACAGATTTTGCCAATTCGCGAATATATAGATAGACCAATTGACAAAATGTCTCTTGGAAACTTAGGCAGTACTATTTTGAATTATCAATATATTTTCTACCCCACCAACAAGAATTAATATTGACTATAGATTGATTATATTTTCTTATAATTTTAATGGAAATAGTTCCTTTAGTATGTGTTTGATATTTCTATTGTGATAGCTTAATTATAAGCCACAGCAATCCCTAACTCAACATAGCCACCTGAGAGTTCTATATATCTTTAAATCAAAAGTAACTTTATTTACCTTTAAATATAGGGGGAAGTAGTATAATGTGTGAGTGATTTTATTTCTTCTTCTTCTTCTTCTTTTTAAATAATTCGATCCACGGCTCGTTTATTCCCTCTTCCCATGAGTGGGAGAGTTAATTTTTTATATAAATCTGTTGAGGGTTTGGTAGAAAGATACCAAGTTAAAACATTCATCTAGATAGGGATTTGGTGGAAATATGTACAGGGAAGTTGAATATAACTTGTTATGTTTGATGCGAAAGAGATTATAGCCTCGTTTGTTTGCCGGAAAGTGAATTTTATGAAAAACGATTTTCAAGAAAATAGATTACTTTTCATATTTGGTTGTATCTTACCAATAAATTGCAAAACTATTTTCTAATTTTTAATCATGTAATGAAAAATAAACGAAAAAAATAACATATTTGAGTTATTAATTTTTAAAAAATAATAGAATTTTTAGTTATCAACTTTCTTTTAAACCTCATCTATTCATTGAAAAATAAACTATTAGAAAATAAATGAGTTTATTATATTTGGTTGTGTAAAATATAACTTAATTATTATTTATTTTATAATTAATATTACAAATTAAATATTTAAAAAATAAATTAAATGAGAGGGAGAGGAAGAAGTAGTATAGAATAAAAAATAAGAAGGAAAAAAAGAATTTTTAATATACAAAAATTGATGAACAATAAACTTTAAAATTGTTTAAAATATTAATGTGACAAGCAACATACAAACTGAAAAGTGTTTTCTCAAGTTTAAAAGAGAAAAATACTTTCTCCTCTCAAAATATTATGTTTTCCTTTGATGAATGATAAAGTTCAAAATAGTTTAAAGTAATAATATGCAAATATAATATAATATCATGTAACATATAACATGCAGAATAAAAATTATTTTTCCAAATTTAAGAAAGAAAAAACACTTTTAGTTGACTTATTTTCCAAAATGTCACCAAATATTAGAAAGTGTGAAGAATGTTTTTCAAAAACTTATTGTACCATAAAATCATAAACTTCATATTTTTTAATTAATTTAGTACGTTGTTTTAATATTAGCAGAAAAAATATAAACTAACGTTCCGTTAACTATATTAACGCGTAGATATTTTTTTAGATAAAATTCTATTTTTATCTGCTGTGATAAGACAGATCAGATGACAACAAGAATTAAAAGTCACCAAGAATTCCATTTTGCTTAGCATTAAAATTTCTTTTCCAATTTAGACGACATGTCATTCTATTTTATTATCTTTCTTATTTCAAATCCAAAAAATCCTCTTGAAATCTTAAAAAGGGAGAATTAGGAAGAGTTGCAGTTGTGGAGTGGTGGCTATTGTGAGGGGTGTTTATGGTGGGTGGGGGGTGTAGCTGTTGGTGATTGGCGGTTGTAAGGACTATTGGAAAAGTGGTTTAACGCTGTGCTGGAGAGGGAGAGTGGTTCACGATTGTGGGGTTTGTTGGAGTGACAATTCGAGACTATGGTAGCTTCTTAGAGTAGCGATTTGTGGCTGTGATGGAGAGGAAGATCGATAAGTGGCTGGAACGAGCAACATCGATTGTGGCTGGAAGGGTTTTATGGTGCTAGGGTTTTTGTTAAAGGCGTGACGCTGATTGGGTTGTCAAGTGAATGGTTGTTAGAGCTCGTGCTTTGGAGTGGTGAGGGAGAGTGGGTTGGGGCCAACGGCCCGATTGGTGTTCGACTGTTGCGTATTACAGCTATGATTGAACATAATTTTTGGAGAAAGGGGGGTCAACTTAGCTTTGGCGAAGAGAGGGTGGATGGTGACGAGAGACTTCGACTAGCGGTGTGGTTAGGGTTTTATGAGGGACGATGGCATGATCGATTGGACAGAAATTTAAGGAAGAAAAAGGGCTGTCGACTACTTCTCTCTCTCTCCCTTTTTCTCTCTTATGGGGTTTTGATACAATAAAAGAGAGAATTGGGCAACATGTCGTTTGGATTTGAAATTTTTTATTGCTAAGTCATGTCAAATTTTGGTGACATTTAATTGTTGCTGTCGTTGTATATTTTTCACCTTGTTAGTTGAAAACAAAATTCTGTTTGAAAAAATTCTCACGTTACAATAATCAAAATTTTAATTTATGTCTTTTCTGTTCAATATTATAATTATTTGGTACAATAAGCCTATTCAAAAAACCATTTTTCAACAAACAAATAAGGCCTAGATGTATCTTTCTTCAACCATACAAATTCAAGAACTTGACAGTGAAATATTGGCTATAGAGACACGATAAGATACTAGAGACGAAACTTATTTGTTGCTCATTTTTTTTAGGTAGGTGATAAGACAGAACAAAAGATAGAAAATATCTAATTTATTTTTTTAATGTTCTATCTTGTGCATGTTGTGTTTGCCATATGGTTTAACCAATTTGTTTTCTTATTTATTAAATTTTTTTTGATTTTATAGTTTCTCTATTCGTTAAAAGATATTTTAGCTCCCAAAAAATATATATATATGCATTCATTTTAATATCGTTTTTTAATCTAAATTTTGGAACACTTGAAGAAAACAGTTTTTTTTTCTAATTCACTACATTATGCATTATTATATATTAATAATAAAATTTTTCCCTAAAAAGCATATCATAATTCAAAGTTAAAGAAATGTAATGTAGGTTGTGTTTGTTTGGGGAAAAACAAATTCTAGAAACTTATTTTCCTCATTTTTTCTATTTTTCGATGTTTGTTTCACGTTGAGAAAAAACTCAACGAAAAATTATAGAGTATTGTTAAAAAAAATATTTTTCGAGTTAAAAAAGAGGAAAAAAAATTTTCTTTCTCTCTCGAGTCTGTTTCGCTCTCACGTTACTCATCTCTCTCTCGATATTTTAATAATTTTTTTTCTCGTCTCCTTTCTTATCAATTATTATTAATTATTTAATTATTTTCTCTCTATTTCTATTAACATTTGATTTTTTTGATGTATAAATACATTAAATATTCTTAAAAACTATTTTCACACCTTAAAATTATTTTTATAATAAACATTCTAATAATTTATCTTCTTCTTTTTTTATCATTATCTCAAACATCACATAAACTATACTTAAATGATTGAAAATGATTATTACAAGAATGTAATCATTTGTGAAAAATTTAAAACTAATTAATTCATTAATGAATATATTATTTTTTGACACTATTTTTTTGTAACTAAATCAATAATTTGTGACTAATTTTAATCAGTTGTAAAATTTTGTTGGTAATTGTAGTCAATAAGTAGTTACAAATTATTTTCATATTAATCTTTTGAAATTAAATGAATAATTATCTACAAATGATAACTAATAATGTGTAAAATAATTTTTTAGATTAAACTATCAGTTCAATTTTCAATTTTTTTTTTAATTTTAGTTTTCCGTATCAAATAAACACTCGAAAAATATGTTCCAATAATTTTTTTCATATAATTGCTAAACGTCAAAAAGTATTTTTTTTGAAAATAACTTTTCCTATAAAAGTTATTTTTCGCTAAATAAGCAGAGCCATAATGACTGTTATACATATAAAATAAAATAAAAACTAGTTTGTTACAGAACACAAAAATCATACGAAAAAATACAATCTGGGCTTAGAGGCCCAAGTGCGTCTGGGCTGCAATCCAAGCCTAACCAAGAAAAAAGAATACATGGACGACTTATCCTCCTTGCAAATGACACATTGTCCTGATCTTTATTTATTTATTTATTATTATTATTATCATCTTGGGTTAGCTGGATTTCCCCGATGGCAATATGGAAAATTTCCAATTTCGTTTTATTTTCACGAAAATGCACTTCCAAACAACATAAATGTAACTTCAAAATTATTTTTTAACAACTAATGAACATAAAATTTGATTTGAAAGTTTTTTAGATTTAAAATTTCAAATTCGCATGACTCTAAATTTAGAGATGAAATAGTTTAAGTTTTATGTCAATAAATTCCTGGCAATAATAGGTTTTGTTTGATGGTAGTTTTACAGGTTTTACGATTGGTTTTGTCACCAGAAAGTAAGGACAAATTTAGAATAAAATTTTATAATATTCTATGTTACAGTCTAGCTATATCTCAACGTATAAAATCTCACCCATTTTATATTTGGAGATAGAGATAAAATTAATTGTTTGTTGTCTCCGTCTCCACAAACCAAGCATGTCAAATTTATGTCTCACACATATTTTCAGTACCATATACTCCTTGTCAAACACTATCTAAATATATAATTAAATTAAACCAAGTCTCTATCTAGATCTCTAGGTAACGGACCACATATGCTATGCCCAAAATTAATTTTCGGAGTGATGGCTCAATTTAACATGAAGAAAGACAGTAATATATTATAAAATTGCATCAGATCTACAGTGGACGCACGTCTCTAAATTTTTTTCTGTGTTTAATAGCTAGTGTACCGAAAAGGATAGTTAACGCACCAAAAATTGATTCATACATACTCTTAATGTGTAATAGTAAATGGAGAATTACTCAGTACTCTTAAAACATGCTTCTCTTTCTTACATAAAATTAAGATCAATGAATAATTTTCATAATATATCAGTTTTAAATTCACATATTAATTTGAATTTGGTCTATCATCTTTACTTCTTATATGAAATGGTGGTAATATGACTGGTAAATAATATCACGGCGCATGATACCAGTGTCTTTTTGTGATTAACATGCTAAATCACAACGTCATCAGCCCACCAGCTTCAACTAATTAAACGTGACATCATACGCCACACATACATACATACATATATATATGATCAATTTCTTCATCAATATTGAGAAACTTTTAAATTCAACTTTGATACTCTAGATTCGTTAACATTAATAATCCTTCCATCCATTATAGATACTAACAAAGACATTCTGATCATGTTAAATTTACATCCTTCCAATGTGACATCATACGCCACACGCTCTGATTCGTTTCCATTTTAGCTTCTTCTTTTTGATAGCCAATGGTTCAAGCTTAATTTGATAAAAAAAAAAACGCCAACTCATAAAAAAATAAAAAAAAATAAATACATAAAAGTGAAGAGGAAAAATATTCATGACATTTAAATATCACAAGATAATTGACTGATCATACAGATTTTCTAGAACTACAACTTGATTCTTCATATATAAAAAAAAAAAAAAAATATATATATATATATATATATATATATATATATATATATATATATATTTTAGTATATGGAATGGAACAACATCACGTATATATATAGTTGCTAATTACTTCGATTTACCAAGAATAATTATGATATTTGGCAAGTAGGGAATGGAACACCACAAGCTCTAGCAACCTTTCTAGCACCAGGAGATGCAATATACAGCTTGAGGCTTGGATCCTTAAGGTATCCACAAAAACAAGGCTGTTGCTCCTTCTCTGTGCTGCAGCAAGTGGTAGATGGTGGTGCAGAGGACAAGATTGCTCCAAGGCACGGGCTTAGTATCCCCGGGTTACATGTCACTGCTTGTGACACTTGTGCTTCAGCAAAGAACATCACCACCACCACCATCACGAAGGAAGACACCTTCTTCATCTTCAATAATCTTGTTATTGCTATATATTCTTTCTTTTCTCTCTGTGTACAAGAATTATGCATCAGGGCCAGGAATTTTGTCCAGGAAGTTATAGAATGGTGATGCTGAGTGAAGACTTGACCCCGGCAAATAAGTCAGGTATTTGGGGGCCCTACCTATTGACCAATATCGTCCGTTAGTGTCTGGAACCTAGCTATTTCTGTCTTTTCAATTGCCGGCGGAAATTAGCTGTTGTCTCACGCACTATCCTTACTTTCTTAGCAACCACTTTTTTTTATTATTATTATTTAGAACAACCTTTTTCTATTATACTTTATTGGCTTTGTTTTATCTATCAAGATATAAATGATATCTTACAAAAAGTTTTCTTGTTTATGAAACAGTATAATTGGGTCGGTTTTCATATACTCAGATTAAGTTTATTTCCTTAGATCAAACAAAATATCATATCCACACCACAAGTAAAAACAAAATATTTGAGACTCCAATTGTTTGAACACCTATAAAGGCCACAACGCGTATAACGACCTTTTCTACTTGTAGTTACGTGTCGCCCATTCCTCGTTCATTTGACTAAGCGGTTGTTCAATCTTTCTCTCCCTAATGGACGAATATATAGTTAGATATTGACAAAATGTCTCTAGGAATTAATTAAGCATCAGGACTGATCAAGGATTATATCTTAACGCTATGGAAACTAGATGGTTTATTCTTTTCTATGTTTGATCGATAGTAAATCGTACTATCGAATCAATTAACTTTTTTTTTTTTTAATGTAATACTATTTTGAATTTAGGTAGTTTACTCAATAACAATGGGAAAAAAATTTTTAATTTTAATTTTAATACTAAATTATTGACATAATGAATTAATGATGTCCTTACCGTTTTGAAAAGAAAGAAATAAATAAATAAATAAGTTAAAAAAAGAAAGAAAAAGATTTGATCTCATTTGCTCTCACTTAATTAATTAGCTTCTTCCATCACCAAATTTCGTTTGTTGCCTTCTCATAGAATAGAGATCCACTTTGCTTTTATTTGTGGTTTTATTATGTTAAGCTATTTATCTTTATCAATTCAATTTGATATTTCAAGTCACTTGGTAATGATGGTTAACTTGATTATCATTATTTTGAATGATTAATTATTTTCTACCTTAATCTCAAAGTATCATCTCACTTAAATGTTTAAACTGTTATATGGGGTCTCGGTATATGAGTTATATTATCCTCTAACACACCCCTTAAATAAAAACTCTTTGGACTTAAAAAAAGAGCTCGAAACTTGTACAAGCTCACATTACCTTGTGTGGTAGGATTTGAACTCTTGACCGTTAGGTTAGCAAGACTACGATATCATGTCAAAAAACTATCTTATCAAAAAACTTAAGTCTGTTAGGTGAGATTTCATTATATTATTTATATTATTCTTTAATACCCATCAACAAGAATTAGTATTGACTATCAATTGATCATATTTTCTTATAATTTTAATGGAAATAACTCTATTTAATATGTGTTTGGTATTGTTGTTGTTAGTAAACGAATCAAGCAAAAGAATAAAGTAGAAAGATAAGAACAATCACATAATACAAAGATTTTGTATAGTTCAACAATAGTACCATGTCCGGTTTAGTCTAAAATTTTTATCTCCTATGGTGTTTTAGTTATGAAAATATTTCCAATTTGAACTCCAAGTTTTTATTTCTTAGACCAAATTACAATTGAGTACCACGATCTAGTTATATCCCGACTCCGGATCAAGTTGAGTCATTAAGGCTAGAGTTGTCAATGCATCGACAAACCGATTTTTGTCTCTCCCCAAATGAGCAAATTCAATTTTTTTCAAACTCTTCAACTAATTTGGTAAGATAAACTTGATAAGGTTTCGAGTTTCTCATACTTGGTTTTTCATTCTCTTTTGACTTGGTAGATTATCGGTATCAAATCACCAAATGACTCAAGCTTTATAGTCCTCTCTCTCGGCTACCTCTATACCATATATGTAAGCTTTATACTCCACTATATTATTGACACGGTTAAACCCAATTCGAATGGCTATTGGGTACCGCCTATCATTTTATGAGATTAGAAAGGCCCTTACACCATTGTCCGATACATTCACTATTCGATCAAAGTACATAGTCCATTTTTATTCGCCTAACTTAACCCCTCCAACTTCGGATGTCATAAGATCTTCATCGGAAAGTCAAAATTTAACAGTTTATAATCATCAATCGTATTGTACGTCAAATAGTTTGCAATCGCACTCTCTTTTACCGATTTTCTAATCATGTATACAACATCATATTCACTAACAATACTTGTCATCTTGCAATTCTACTTGATAGGTATGACTTCTCGAAGATATACTTAAGGGGATCTATTTTTGAGATAAGCCATGTTAAGTAGTATAACATATACTACCTAAGCCGTTAAGCACTCCATACTAAACCACAACATATCTTTTTCAAAGTACTATACCGAGACTCACAGATCTATAAATTTCTTACTCATAAAGTACATTATTTGCTTCTTCCTTCCAGTACCATCATGTTATCTAAGAACATAGCCCATAGTCGACTCGGTGATTATTAGATATAAAATCGGAGGTTGCCTGAGCACCGATGGGAAAAAAAGAGGAAGGTTTTCTAGATACTATTCGATCTTGTCAAAAATAAAATAGTATGCATCATTCTAAGTTCTTAGGTTGCTCTTTCTCAATAGTTGAAAGATAGGTTTACATGTCATTGTGAGTCGGGAGATGAATCGAGTTATAAAGTTCAACCGGCCTAAGAAACCTAAGACTTTCTTTTTACTGTGAGGTGTTGACATTTCTTGGATAGCTTTAGCATTTCTAAAATCTACTTTTAACCCTCTCGTTACTCACAATAAATCCTAGTAATTTTTCTAACTTGACCCCGAAGGTACACTTGGCAGGATTCAGCTTCAATCGATATTTTATTAGTCATTTAAATAGCTTTTATATTATCCGAATATGATCTTTTTCGGGCTTCATCTTGGTGATCATGTGATGTACATATACTTTAATTTCTTTGTACATTATGTCATGAAAGAGGGTAACCATAGCTCGTTGTTCTATAATTTTTTAGACCAAATGATATGATTTTGTAACGATAGGTCCCTAATGGTGTGATAAAGATAGCCTTCTCCATATCTTTCTCTACCATCTTAATATGGTTATACCTCAAGAAATCGTCCATAAAGGAGTAAGTAGATTTCTATGCAGTATTGTCTACTAGTATATCGATGTGTGGTAAAGGAAAATCATCTTTGGGACTAGCTTGGTTCAAGTTTCGAAATCAACACACATTCCGATCTTTCCATTCTTTTTACCAACTACCACAATGTTTGAAACCCAAGTTGGATACTTGATTACCTTGAGAAACTCCACCTTAAACTCGCTTGATAACCTCTTCTTTGACTTTCATAAGGACATTTGGTCTCATTCTTCTCAACTTCTCGCTTTATTAGTTTATGATCGTGTAATAATGAAACTTTGTGTACCACTATACTAGTATCTAACCCGTGCATATCCTCATATGACTAGGCAAACACATCCTCGTACTTATTTAGTAAGGCAATCAAACACTTTTTTTCTTCTTTCAAAATCATATTTCTAATTTATAGTTCTTTTTATTTTTTTCAGTCCCATATTTATATTTTTTAGCACTTCTTGATAAGGTTTTATAGACCGTTCGAAAATTCTACTAACTTGGTAAATTCCTCCACATCTTCATTCTTAAATTCCTTTTCATCCAAGATAATCAAATTCTCATCAAATTTAGGCCAAACATGTTGAGTGTAATTATTTTAAAATTTTAGGATATATTCATTTTCTACATCCCCGAAAGTAAAAAAATACGAAAATAAAATGAATGAAAAAGAATGGACTTAGTATTTAAGAAAAATTTATCATCTCATATTAATAATATGGATAAATGCTCTACATAAATCTTTCTCGATATCTCGAGCTAGATAATTGAGAGATTAAGATACAAAAGAATAGCAAATTACTCAATAGTGTAGGTAAGTAAAATTTTCTCTTCTTTCCAATTATTGATCCCTCATCCAAGTGTTCCTTCCTTGATCGGCAAGTCGATAAGTAGTGTATCCTTCATAGCATTGACGATCAATTATGGTAGTGTCACCATTTGAGGAATGACAACCATCGTTTCAAGCCCAATGACCTCTTCCATCTTCGACTTTCCTTTTAGGTGCTTGATAGATAGAATAATGATTCTTACCTCTAAGTTTACCATCTCTTGATTCTAGTTGATGACACAAGCATAGTAAGGAAAGGTAGCTTGAAATTGAGGAATAAAAATCATTTCTTCATTTGGTTCTCGACCCTCAATTCTAGCAAAATATTTCTCTTTCTTCAACTCAATAGCCATTAGATAATCTTTTCTAGTAGACTTAAACTCTAGCCCAAAAGGTGATCCGAGTTAGCTTCCTTTCAAGTACTTACCGCTCCTAATATTCCATCATTGAGATCATAGTTTAATTGAAACTCATACTTCATCAAGTATTTTGTTGCCATCTTCACAGTGCCCAAGCACCTTTGACTCTCTCAAAAATGTATGCATAAGCATTATATCTATATTTACAACCTCAAACGAATGCAAATTGCCATCTCGACTCCCTTCAACCTCAATATAAGGTACCGACATATTTTTAAATAGAGGTAGTGCCTTTTCTACTATTATTGTGACTAATTTATCATTAACCATATACTTTAACCTTTGGTGCAATGATGATACCATAACACCAACGTAATGGATCCATAGTAACCACTAGAACCATACTCGTATGATGTAAGTATATCGATAACTTGCATAGTGACTTAGAATTGGTTTTGTCTAATATTGAAATTGATACGATCTCCCTATCACTCATCTTGAAAACCCATCATAGGCTCTAGCCATTATACTACTAAGACATATATGAGATTTATCCATGGGCAATTGATTTAAGACCGAGCTGAGCAGAGCATTCAAAGCAAACCTATTATCAATTAACACCTTAGCAATCATATGGTCCTTGCATTCGATCATGATATGTATTGATCCGTTAGTGTCTAATGCCTTTGG